GGATTTAAAATTATATCAATGTCAGGCTTTGGTACACAAAAGCCATACAAGTTCCAATAGCTGACAGGGGATATTTGCTACTTGCACAATATTAAATTAGTTTTACCCATCGAAATTTGCATGCTTTTTATAATTTATGTAATCTCACATTTTTATAAAATGATTTTAATTTTTTAATTAATAAGCCAAATATATTTAAAAAAATTATATTTTTTTAAATACTATAATATAAAATATATATTATTTTTTAATGTGAATATTTTTATTTTAAAATATGTAAAATAATTTTTTTTATAACGTTTTACATGATTTTATTTATAACTTAATTATTAAGTTAGATTTTATTCGTCTTATAAATTATAAATCCCTTAGGTTTAGCAGCTAGTACATTTATAGTTCCAGTGTCAGCTACTGGGACAACACATAGTCAGCTACTGGTACAAGCACTTTTTTCATTGTCAGCCACCGGAACACGTACAAAGGTTGAATTAAGTTCAAAAATGTTATAAAATATATTTTAAAAACCCTTTTTGTGTGACAAATTTGAAAACTACACTAAATTTAGAATCCCATAAAATCCGTAATATCTCTTTAGTTCCTATTTATTCAAAACCACGGATTATTAAGTGCGTATAGTTTCTTATACTGTCAGCTACTGGTGCGTTTACCTTACCTATAGTACAAAAGATAAATAAAAAAAAATAAAACCTAAGTATTCAGTTGAAATTTGTTTCTATAACATATACAATTCATTGGTATATGTGTATCTATGTCATACAGAAAGAACCAAATCGTCTCTTTCTGCCTCCTCTCCCCGTTGCAAACGCAAAGAATGGGTAACTACAATATGCACAGTACAGATAAAAGCCAACCCCGTATGAATATCGAGTCCTCTGCTAGTTATCTTATAAATAGGCCTTCATTTGTCCATTTGAGTCACATGGGTCTTACTTTCACGAGGAAATGCAAACGATTCACTCTGGAAACACGGTAGTTGGCCGAGACTATTTCCTGGAACACTAATGCTTATACGCAGAAGTCTCAAATTTTGTTAATCAGCTGATTTGGCAAGGCGTGCGCTGTGGCAATTTTCCTGCGAAAGCGTGCAAAACGTGATCTTAGCGTTGCCACGTGACAAAACACCCATTGTCACAGTTCTCCGCTTCTGTTTGTGTGACAAAACTGTTTTATGAGCCTCGGCGCAACTATGTAATGCCTATTTTAGACCGTAACACCGCCCAGTGTTGATATACGGAACGTTTTGTTTGATAACAAGAGATTAAAACGGTGTTCCCTTACTGCGGGACAAGGTATTAGTTCTTGAAATGACTATTCTGATGTAAACCTACAAAATTAGGAATTTCACCATGGATAGTGTTAAGCTAAGCAAATTTAAAATTAATTTACCTGGGTTTTATGCTTCAGTCATAAAATTATGTGTAATTTAAGAGATTAAAGATTTATTTCGTAGTAATGCGTCATATTGTGAGGACCGTCTAATAACACATACATTATACACGGATACTCGAAAATTGAAGAGCCTACTTAATTGTTTTGATACTGGTGATGTACTTATAAATACGAAACAGCTATATAGACATATAATAATTGTAACACACAGAACAATACTTTACTTAGTCTCTCCGATCTAAGCTGAACGTTGTATCTTTGACTATTGATGCAGTATCCAATAGTCAATGGTTGTACACAAGGTGAGAATAATTATGCACTTTTTAACGAAATGACAAATAAATATACTGTCATATAGGCCGATTTGTGTAAAGATTGCTGGTATAGAATTGAGTAATTAATTTGAACACGGAAATATTTGTTAGGATACAAAACCATACAATATCATGCGCGTTACAATGCACATTTTTACTTAAGCATTATTGGGGTTATTGGTCGAAATCAGTCCCATCTGGCCTTGTTGTTTGTTTTTTATTTGATACTAGCTGGCCCGACAGACGTCGTCCTGTCCTATTGTGGTTTTATGTCACATGCTCGTTCATTTTCAAGATGAGCTCGTTCGCATGGCTCAATCACGTCCTGGTTGAAGTTCGTTCGCTACGCTCACTCACCTTTAGGTTGGAGCTCGTTCGCTGCGCTCACTTGCCTTCAGGTTAGCTCGTTCGCTACGCTAACTCGCCTCCAGGTTGAAGTTCGTTCGCTACGCTCACTCATTTTTTGGTTGCAAATTAGCTGTTCTCATATTATAAATAAAAAAATATATATATAGTGCTGCACCCTGTTGGTAAACCTATTAACTTTTTAATGCTATTGAACATCACAGAATCAGATAGTTTAGTTGAACCAGCTGTTAAGATTCTTTAATTCCATTTAAATATGAGTACTCATAAGGTTAACATGGGAAACTCCAGAGCCACTGGGGCGGAGCCCTTTTGACGGATCTGCACCAAACTTCACACAAACCATCCTTGAATAATGCTTAATAATGCCTGAAAGTTTCATTACAATCTGTCGAGCGGTTTCGGAGTCCATAAAGGACAAACATACAAATATACAAACATACAAATATACAAATATACAAACATACAAACATACATTGGATTTTATATATATAGACTAGCAGCTATACCAGTGCCTTGCAACGGAGTCAGTATGCAAAAAGAGACAATGTTGGTTCTTTGAAAATGCCTTTAAAATGGTCTCACACCCACCATTTAATTTAGAAACGAAATTGGACTGTATTACTTAACTTTAAAATAGTAAGTTTTTGTTAACTCAGACTGTGAACACTTATATAGGCTACCTAGGATGTAGTGCCTTCATCTCATAACATTGATTGATTTTAATTAAAAAAAACACTCTAAAATGAAAACATATATGGGAATAATTTTGTTAAGTAGCTCAAGCTCGGTGTAGCGAAACAATAAATTACTATAACAGGCAATTGTTTACTATCAGGTATTTTCTGTTGATTTTAAAAATACGTGGTTAAAGGTACATCTTACTCTCTTATAAGAGAACACAAGACACACTTATACACTACACAATAATAGCCTCGACAGCTAAACTTTCTCTTATCTCAGTGATGATAAAGCACCTTCAAGGCCAAAACTGTTTGTAAAACAACAACCTGGCTGTGTAAAGTAATACTTCAAAACAAAAAAGTTATTAATACAGTACTAAGTTTTTGGCTCAGTTTCTCCTTAAACTTAATTGAATAATACCATTGGCTGTTTTGAGTATATAGTCAATGGGAATATAGTATGTTTATTCTATGGTAATACTTAGTTCGTTGTAAGTTATCCAGCAATAGTTATGAGTAAATACTGTAAAAAACTCCCAGCTTTAGGTAGGCTACTTTGTTTGTTTCATGTTCTTCTGAAACTTTAGGCTAATAATATATTGCTTTAATTTACATACAACAGTTTTCAAATTAGTGTTTGATATCCTAAAACATGTATATATAGTCGTTAACCTAATTTCACTTAGGATAATAAATACTACAAAACAGTCAATTGTTTCCACATTAACCTATAGATCGTACTAGTGTGCTTATTTATTAGTCGTCCCTTAAATTAATCTACTGCAATATAAATTAGTATCTAGTTGTAGTCTATTATAAATATTTCAAATTAGACTGTAGAGAAAATAATATTCTGTACTACTGTAGTCTTACGAGTAATTGTGTGGGTTTCTGCTGAAACATAATATTCGGAAGATGTTTACGTTGGAAGTATGGTTTGTAACACTATTTTAATCGAAGGAGTACATAATTCGAAGCGTGTTTTTACAAACAAATGTTCCATTCTTGGCATTCTCACAAAGAGCCGAAGGTAATGTGATCATGTGGTCACGAAACATCTATGTGACTTATAACACAGACTATCGGCAATGGTTGAAAACTCCCATCAGTTGGTAAAAGCCCAATGGTTTGATCATTTTTATTTTATGACCAAACTACTTTAAAATCCCCGTTAAAACTTATTTTTGCTTGTATTTGACAAATTATGAAAAACTGGGATATGCTATGTTTTTTTTTCAACTTTTGTTTAGGTATCACAAAAACTTGTTTTAAGAAAAACAATCGTGTGACCTCAGTAAAATAAATTACTGGTAAACATTTAGAAGTATTATAAACAGCTTCTGTACTTAATACCAATCAAAGGTGCTCCAATAATTTATTTGGCAAATCACAAGATTAGTGTAAACATTTTACTGAATACACCTTGATCCAGACCTCGATAATCTATCACATGACATCATTGTATATTTCTTGTTTTACATTTAAGTTGTGACGATTGTCAATACACTGAATTTCTGTGTTCATGACAATAAATATTCTTGATTCTTATCGCGGAAAATCTAAGTACCGGTACTCGCATATAGCCTGATGTTGTTATGTGGGGAACATCCATCGATGTATAATAACTCCCTGAGCTGTGTATAGTTAAATGTAGAGTTATTATACACCGATGGGAACACCAAAGAGTTTTAGGCCTAATTCTCATATTTTTGCAAATACTGTACATATTTTATTTAGCTAACTGGAAAATCACATTGTAAAGGTTTGCTGCGACACGGTATTTTATTTATCACGTCAGCCATTAATGTATGCCATAGCTAGATATAGTTAACATTCGTATGTATTGTAAGTTAAATATTGCTTCATTTGTTATACCTCCCTTAACTACTACAGTAGAACTTCTACTTCTACTAGAACTTCTACTAGAAGTATATGGAGAAAGTATTGTTGTCGTCAAAAGTTTCGTGTTTGAGTGTATAACTACTCGTTTATACAAATAAGAAGTGTTGTGGTATTTCTTCATAATATTACAACTGTCATGTATCATGTCAACACTGTATAATATACAGTGTAAACATATATGGTGTAAACACCGTATTATGGTGCTTAGTACACAATTTACAAACTTGAAAAGGATTTTATTGCAAAATCCTTAAATGATTATTCATATTTCCTAATGTAAAACCGAGAGGTCTTCCCCGGTTAAAATGCTCGATTAGAAACTTACCGATCAAGTTAAATTATCCATATCCGATAGTCAGCTGACAAAACACGCGGCTATCGCGCACAACTGGCGGCAGACAACACTAGCAGACGACACTAGTTGACCGGTGGAAGGCTTGCAGCGCACTGTACCATGTAGCCTATCGCGCCACAGAGCGGGATAGTGACCTTGGCTAGTGTTACCGTGTTCAAGCAATTTATTCTCTGTCTCTCTCTAACTGGTCACGTGCCGAAGACGTTGTTGAGAGGGGGGGGGGGGAAGAGTCACTGGTCCGTGGGAATTTCGATAGTACATTCAATGCCAATGTGGACTGTGGAATTTTGGTCAACTTGGAGAAAAAATTGATTTTCTTCTTGTTTTTATCATCAATTCCGTTACATTAAGACATGACCTCAATTAATTCTACTTTTAAGTAACACATAAGTAGTACATTTAAGTGTCGGGTAAGTTCGGTCTATATAAAAATAAACAAAACATTTTAACGTAAATAGGTAATGGATAAGTTAGAATGCAATTCGAAGAGTCAGTAACAGATCAGCTGTTTCTTAATCGAGGACCATTTTAAAAGTCAGCTTTGGTTTATTTATAACCATCAAAAAGCTACTAACGCTCAGGATAGATTTGATAATTATGTTTTGCAATTATCAAAAGACTTTTTATTAATTTTGTGCTATGTTATTAAATCAGAAGTTATGGGGTTAACCTCCCTGTTCAATAACAACATGATAAAATAAGGTCTTTGAAACATAAAAACTCGTAACACAGATATTGTATTAAATTCAACAGTGAGTGGAAGAGGGAACGATTTGCCACCATTATAGTGTCAGTGATCAGAATCGCATATCATCTGATGTTCAAACAATCATCATCCAATAATGTCTTCAAGTTAGTTTCAACAACCAATTCAGTGGCGCAGTTTTTTAAGCTGGCGATTCTTCAATTTTATGAAATAGAAATGTGATATACTGATTTTGACGTAGGGGATACTATGTAAATACTAGGGGACTAAAACTCAGTGGGGGTATACATTTGGTACAACTTTTATTTTACTGTGTTGTGGTACTGTAATGACAAATTATACAAGGAAATAACAGACATTTAAAAATTAAACTTAATGTTACTGTATGAAAAAGTGGATATTTTAAAGTCCCAATAAAGGTTATTACCTCAATACTGACCAATCCCTCTCGCTAATTATCCAATCAAACATTTTTTATATTCAAATTTCTGGTTGTCGATCATTTGACGAGCGTAACCAAACATCAACACGGTTGAGGACGAGAAGTCTACTTGCAGTTGCAGTATCCAAAGTCAATGGCGGTCGTGATGTGGTGAGTACACGGAAGCCACCCGTGTTGGATATTTATAAAGTAGTTATCTATATTTACTCTTGGTCCTGTGAACTAACAGGCATCAACGCTCTGTCAACAATGACAGCTGGGACGGCTCTCGCTGGAGACACTTCCGAAATCGTAGAGGGGGGGGGGTAGACAAAAATATAAAATGCATAACAATTGAATAGTTCCAAAAAGTTAACAAACATAAATTTTGAAACGTAAATTGAATACGTTTCAAAAAATACACGACGAAGAAATGGCCAGAGAGAATCTAATTACAGTTACGTTCTTGAGAGTATGTCAGTATGTCAACTTCTAATAATCAGCTGATTCACTCATCATTGCTACAATGGTTTTAATAAGAATTCATTCTAAATTTTAATAGTATAGCCCAAATATATCTTAACTTCTTAGAGTAAAAATCACAAACAAGCAGACAGAACCGCTTGCTTACTCGAACCGGTTGGCTCGTCAAGAATCGTTACCTTACCAATATCACGATCAGCTGATTCAGCATTGTTGTCACTTCTTATTACTCCTCACCTGTGACTTGTGACGTCATGGTGACGTCATACCAGGCTTGCCACCTGTGACATCATGATACTTTCTCGGCCTCTCCCACGTGAGTTAACCTGCAAGATTGTGGTTATTGCGTTACTGTATTAATTCAATTGCGGATTGATACGACTTTATGTCACATTGTGCAATAAGTCAAACAGGTTATGATTGATTGTGTGATTGAGAAATTGCAGCATACAAAAATGTGAGTGAAATAACACATTTTTCAGATTTTAATGATATTAAATGAAGGAACAAAACAATGTTTTGCCTATAAGTTAATAAACACTTATAATGACAAGGACACGTTGATCAAGCTTTTTCAATAATCAATTCTGGACTATTTAAACGAACGAATAACATCAATAGCTATTCAAAACAATTGATTCAATAATGTATCCGCGAAGACAATTTTCAATTTAATTTTAGTTATAACTATTATTTTATTCTCCACTTAAACTCGGGAATCCTCTCCAGAGCACAATATATTCTACGTCTAGTGTATTCACCATTTATATTCCATAGTTCACAAAAAGGTAATAAGATCTAGATCGGAGCGCTCGTGCCAAGTACAAGGTCGTCAGCGTGGGAACTGCCCGTGCCCGACTGAGGTATGGGAACATCACGTGCAAGCATTACCCATCTCGAACTGAAACTGGTCATCAGGCATCTCCCGGAGGTCTACCAATGTATACTCTACTTTTTACTTTCTATGATGCTACTGCCCGACTGAGGTATGGGAACATCACGTGCAAGCATTACCCATCTCGAACTGAAACTGGTCATCGGGCATATCTCACTGGGGGTCCACCTATCTATAATCAATTACTCATTTATTCAACCAAAATAAAACATACAAGTTTTCATTAATCATTTCACCTTTTCACCTTTCACCTTTTGGTTGCAAATTAGCTGTAGTCATAAATAAAAAAAAAATAATAGTTCTGCACCCTGTTGGTAATCCTTGTAACTTTAATGCTATTGAACATCATAGAACAGAACCAACTTGTTTAATTGAAACAGCTGTTGAGATTCATTAATTCCATTTAAATATGAGTACTCATAAGGTTAACATGGGAAACTCCAGAGCCACTGGGGCGGAGCCCGAAAGCCCGATCAGAATAAAAACTACTTAGTTTTTCCTGTTTAATGCCCAAAGAATCGGTGTACCGAATTTCAGCCTCCTAGGTAAATGGGAAGTGGGAGAATTAGTGATGAGTAAGTGAGTCAGTCAGTGAGGGCTTTGCCTTTTATATATTTAGATAACTTCGTTTTATGTTGTTTGTTGTTGTTCCGGATCGGTATGACAATAAATAAAAGGTTAAATTACCTGTGTCCGCCGGTCGATCATAATGTATCCTATTACAGGAGATGCATTTCGGCGAAATTAAATCGCCATCATCAGTCCTAATATAAGGTCTTGAGCTTCCCCATTAGGTGCGTCTTGAAGTTTTTGAAACACATACACGAACTGTACACTTATACACATGACGAATAAAACATAAATACACGGTAGGCCTACTTTTATTTTCACTATGGACATGTAGGGTCGGTCTTGTGCCGAGTCTCGACTGAAAACGCTCATTTAAAAAATGTAAGTTTCCCAGCCATATACAAGACTGATTCAAGGTCTTTTTCCCGGTTATCAAAACTCAAGAACAATTTTATACACAAAGAATCTCTATTTTCATTTACGGTTACCCTACAAATTATTGCACTTACGAGTAATCAAATCCGTTATGTCGGGAAAAACGTTTTTAATCTTACTTGGTTTGGATTTGCTTTCAAAACGTGATCGGAATTGGTTGCGGTATTTGTAAACAACATTCAATGTAAACATATCAGTGACAGCTAGAAGAAATAATCTTGATTCGAACAGCTGTTCGTTTTTTATAGATGAATATGTGATAAACATTGGGAAAAAACTTTGCAAAAAATCGCACAAAATTTTTTTAGGGTTTTTAAACGTCCATCATTTTATTTAAAAAGTAGTGACGCCATATTTTAATGGCTAAAGACAATCTCGCCAATCCAGTGAATACATTAACATGATTTGGAACTTGATATGTACTCTCGTTTTTTTCAGGAGATGGCCGCAAAAAATGGCTCTTGGGCCGTGACAGACAGAAAGACAGACAGACAGAAATTTAGATGAGACTTGTTTTGGTTTCTGTATAAAACGTAAAAATAACCTAAAAGTTTATGATTCTGAGCAATGTACAGACAAAACTCTAATTTTATTTATATAGATTCCTCCTTTCTCTAAATCACTATGTGTTACTGTATTGTCTGTGTTATGGTTATACATGCCTCCCAGCCGTCACACTCCTCTGTATGATGACTCCTGTGTCACCTGCTAGTGAATGTGATGAGGTTAAAATGACACCTCAATCATAACAATCAGGAGCAGTTCAAATAAGATGTTACAGGAAAACTCCAATTGTATTAAGTAAGTACTGTTTCTCTTATAGAGGGAGAAAAATTCCCCCCCCCCCCCAATGAAACCCCCAGAATGAGTGGAATGCCTGAAAAATCAAATTAATTAATGTATCATGATAGTTTTACCGAGAAGACCTATTTCGGATTGACTTTTTACTCCATCAACACTTGTAACTTAAATGTTTACTGATACCACCAACTAAGTGCTTATGTTATCTGTTATCAGTTATCAGCTGTTTGATAACAGAATGAGAATGAGGCACACCCTATGACTCAGAGTTTTGCAATCTAAATTTGCCATGACACAATAATTAGTTGCACATTTGATTTTATAAACCATGTTTGGATGGTTAAAACTGTAAAATTTTAATGACAGTAAAATCTTAATCTAAGTCTTATGACTTGAAAATAAACCGAAAAATTGTTCTGTGATGTCGTTAAAGTATTAGTGGCAAAATAACAAAAAAAGTATTGAACCACAAAAAAGACCATTTCTGTACAGGACAAAAACTTATCTTAAAATTTTCTTCAGAGAATCCATAAATAAGATAAATCTATCAAGAAGTACAATAGGGTTGTTTAATCATTGATCTTATGATTTTTGGAAATCACTTCGGAACTCTCACCAGAGAAAGAAATAAATTGCACCTGAATCTGAAAAAGATCACCTAAAAACTATACTTAACTGTTTATTAATTATTGGAAAAAATCTGAGTATTCAAAGATTATTATGGTTTACATTACATTATTGATTACTTAAAGCTTTATACAGGGTGTTGAAAATGTCTGGAACCAACATTATATCTGGTGAGTGGTTAAAGAAAAACAAATGATATTTTGTCTACGGATATACTATGGTTTTACCTATCTTTTGGTGCCTTATGAAAATTTTTACCACTTATAGGGAACGTCCTGTGGAGGATGCAGTAATAAGTTTAAATGGAAGCCTATAGTAAATGATACATCATTTTAAAGGCCATTTTTTTCTGAGTAAGGAGCCACAAGTTTCATCTCAAAAGGACCACCCTAGCAAAAATGACGACTGTTTGAAATTTAAATAACCACTTATAGGGAACGTTCTGTGAAGGAAGCAGTAAAAAGTTTTCATTGAAGCCTATGGTAAATGATACATCATTTTAAAGGCCATTTTTTTCTGAGTAAGGAGCCACAAGTTTCATCTCAAAAGGACCACCCTAGCGAAAATGGCGACTGTTTGAAATTTAAAAATTCCGTTCCCTATAAGTGGTTTTTTAAATTTCAGACAGTCGCCATTTTTGCTAGGGTGGTTCTTTTGAGATGAAACTTGTGGCTCCTTACTCAGAAAAAAATGGCCTTTAAAATTATGTATCATTTACCAAAGGCTTCCATTAAAACTTTTTACTGCATCCTCCACAGGACGTTCCCTATAAGTGGTAAACATTTTCATAAGGCACTAAAAGATAGGTAAAACCATAGTATATCCGTACACAAAATATCAGTTGTTTTTCTTTAACCACTCACGAGATATAATGTTGGTTCCAGACATTTTCAACACCCTGTATAATGATATGCAACAAAACTTTATCCTTGCAAAAATACATCAAAACAAAAATGTGAAAAAGATAAGGTGTATTTAGGACGGAGTTACTGTTGTATAAAAAAGGAAAGGCTGACGTGTGATAATACTGATACTATGTTTTTTTTTGTTTTTGTAAATCTGACTTTTTTTGTTTTTTTTTGTTTTATGAATTGTTAAGGTTTTTTTTTTATTTTTGTGATAATATTGCCTTTTAAATCAAATTAAATCTTAATATTCATCAAGTTAAAAATATAATGGATTTTGTAATAGTAAAATAATGAAATATGTGATTTAGAATCTGTGGTGGTTGCGTGTATTCCGGTGCCCGGATAAGAGGAAGTCTACTATAGTGATGTGATGAATGATGATAGAATAAGAAGACCCCACGAAAATGCCAGAGAGGCTGGTAAAATGTGAAGGCAATACCACCTTTAACTCCAAAGGCCTAGTTCGTATGAATGCATACGTACTACCATAGATAAAACATACTCCCTTAGTAGATTTCTCATCCTAATGGATATGGAACAGCTGAAGACAATTTTATCGTTAGTTATGTACGGTTTATGTAGAGGTCGTGTTTTATTTACAATTTGTTTCCCGTTAATACAGTCATTTAAAACCTCGTTTAACCAAATAATACGATCTAATCATAAACAATAAATTGTCCCCTAGTTATATAACCAAACAGTAAAGCACAAATCAAGAAATTAACCCTAAATAATAGAAACAAAATTTCGTCGACACTAGCGCCCAGTGTGGCGTACATGAACTAGACATGAAAAACGAGCTTCAAAATTTACAATGGGATGAGAAGTCTACTTGTGTTGGTTAGTCTATGGTACTACCTAACCATTAAAACTCACCATGAGAAGTCTACTTGTGTTGGTTAGTCTATGGTACTACCATAGACTAACCAACACAAGTAGACTTCTCATCCCATTGTAAATTTTGAAGCACGTTTTTCGTGTCTAGTTCATGTACGTGACACAAAGGCGCTAGTGTCGACGAAACTTTGTTTCTATTATTTTAGGGTTAATTTCTTGATTTGTGCTTTACTGTTTGGTTATATAACTAGGGGACAAGTTATTGTTTATGATTAGATCGTATTATTTGGTTAAACGAGGTTTTAAATGGCTGTAATAACGGGAAACAAATTGTAAACAAAACACGACCTCTACAGAAAACCGTACAGAACTAACAATAAAATTGGCTTCAGCTGTTCCATAAGGATGGGAAATCTACTAAGGGAGTATGTTTTATCTATGGTACTACTAACTCAAGAACACAGGTAACAAAAATATACATGTAACAGGTAATACAAAATATTAATATTAGGTGTGAACAAAGCTATCAAGAGCTAGATGAAATGCAAACCAAAACAATAAGCTTCAGATATTAAAATATAAGAAAAATCAGTTGCTACATTTAAATATTAGTCTTTATGTGGCATCATTATTAATTTATATAACACTTCGTTTCTATAATCAATGCCAAGCTCTACATTACAATATATTTTTCTTCTGTACTGTGAATAATGCTCAGCTGAAAAATAAGGTTTTACAGTATCAGCTGTTGGACTTGGATTGGACTATTTCAAAGTCGTCTCGTCGTCTGAATTCTGAATTGAATAATGCTGGCTGCTGGCTGCTAGCATATACTAGTCTATTTTATTGACATTGTAAAGTCTAATTATTATTATCTATTTAGTTTGAAGAATTTTGAACTCATGGCTTCAAAGATAGCTGGTCAGGTCTTAAAAGAGGTAGGCCTATATAATTAATAGTTTATTCTAAATGTAATACAATTAAACTGCGAGAATAGAAAGGTAAAAAAACGGAGACAAGCCTTGCAAATAGAGCTTGGCCCAACTGTAAGCCTATTTACTTTCAAGAAAACAGTAAACTAATTACTAGACGAATTTTCTAAACAGATTAGATTACTCCTCTAAATATTCAATATTGGTAAAACTTAATGGAGATTTTTCCAAAGACTGACTAGGTACCTTTAACAGTTAAGGTTAGTTATTGGCAAAACTGTAATATTGAACTCAAATCCATCGTCAGGGCAGCCCCTAGGTTAATAGATGCCCAGGGGGAGATTTAAATTTTCGCCTACCTCCCCAAAAAAGGTATTTGGGGGGTTTGCGTCAATAGACCCAATGTCCGACGTAGGCCTAGGTATAGATATTGCAGATTTTGCAAGTATTTTTTTATAAACGTAACAAGTACACTGTACTAAATTACTAAAAACATTGGATTTACTACTCACAACGGACACCACGAAACAACTACGAGTTGATATAAGAGTTTGAGCTTTGAGGTTAGAAAAAAGCAAGTGTAGGTGGGGCGTTTGGGCGAATACGCAGTATGTGTGTGTGTGTCTTGAACTCGCAGTATTGCCAACAAGTCACATGCCAGACTTAAAAGTAGTATTAGTACGAGTTGTAGCCTATATTAAATATCGGTAAGTTATTTATTTTATTAATAAAAAAAAGATATAGGCTAGGTATACTGTCTTTTTTTAGAATAGTCATTGTCATTGATAACATGTTAACGATTTTCCTGTCAAATATTTGTTTGTGGTTTACTGATGACGTTGTTCAATTTTTTACCTTCCTCTAGCCACGGTGCCAAGGCGGTTGCCTCGCTCGCCCTGCCCTCGGAGCGGCCCTGTCCATCGTAGGCATTAACAATTGAACCGCACAATCGATGTAACGAGTCTTTGTTAGGGTTAACTTCCGTATCTGTTGGCACAAACAACCGAATGAAAATATCGAATAATCGATATATCAACCGATATTTTCATTCGGTTGTTTGTGCTAGCAGGTACAGAAGTCTACCCTTATCGAATAAATCATTGCTTTTATTGTTTGATCTGATTGAGTCCAATAAGTTATCAAAGTTTGCCGAGTTATGTACAATCAGGCTTTTAAAAGAGTAGGATTTTTGTGGTCTAGACTATCAATGGATGACTGAGACTGTAATTTGCTGAATGTGGATAAGTTACCAAGAATAGCCAGCAATGTATGATGTGTCCACACATATTCATCTTAATATTCTAGGCCCAACTTACACGGTATTTATTTCTTAACTGTCAAGAGCTGAAACTCTCAAACAATTTCTTTCATTCTAGACGACTGGGTTAACTGGCCTAAAAGTTTCCAAGAACCCCATCCACGAGCTAAGTGTACTTTATGGCAAAACCTTGAGAGTGTTGCAGAAGATGCCAGAAGAAGCAGCCTACAGAAAATACACAGAAGAAATTGTGTCTCAAAAGAATAACGTTGTACAAAACGTAAGTATCGGGTACAGTTCTGCAGAGAACCTGCAATATACCGTATTATCAGATGAATATCGTTATAGGCTATATCAATAATTATCCGAATCATTATTTGGTTCCCTATGTTTTTTTTGTTGGATGTTCTATGTAGCCTAAATCATGACTAGGTCTTACCATGAGTACTACGGTAATAGCTTATTCCCTCTATGGGAAACTCGCTAAATCGAAAGAGTTATAACTAACACAATAGTCCGGTGTATTAAAAAGAAACACTAAGTGGAAATACAGTTAAACTATTAAACCTAATGATAATAATATGGAATTTTTTACAAAAAATTACTATTATACATTTAAAGAGAAGTGGTTTAAATTATGGTATTTAGAAAATCTTCCCCTTCTTTCACCCAAGGTTTATTTCGTTGTCAAAGAGGCTGTGTGTGGTTTATCTGCCTCCACATACACTACCTTTGCAGTCTGGCTACTCAGAGCATGAATGAAGAAGCTTTTGCTGCATCTCACACTGGAATACACAACGTACTCAGAGTCTGTGAGAGAAACATGCTGATCCGCTCAGTTCCACCCCGGCTGTGGACGTTTGGTATTGTGATTTATTAATCGTCATGGCGAAGCAAACTGTGACGGGGACTGTAGCTGCTTGAACTCTAACGGGTAGCTGCTAGGAATTATTGGGATAAATGATAAATCCCAATTCCCCAGCACCACAACCCGTGAGAATATCTGCTTCAATGATGTATCAATGGAGACTGTGATTACGAAGACGCGTACCATTACACAATTTGGCTGGATGTAAGTTTCTTAGCAGCATCACAGGAGCTTCGACCTCCAGGGTGAGCTCATAGGCAGGCACACAGGGTGCTGATACTAAGACAAGAAACTCTGCCGGGTAGTTTACAGCATCGTCTTCTCTCAGGGCGGTGTTCACTGATCTATTTACACCTTTATTTTCTTAAACCCACCTTCAATGAATGATGCATGCTAGTCATGTACCTGGTTTGAACCCATTCCTGACACTAGGTTTTTCAGCTGGAATTCAACTGATGATTTATGTTGGATTTTAGGGTTGAAAATGTGGTGTGTTGGGTTTTTTAGGGTTGTTTGGTGTGGGAATGATTGTTGGTTTCTTATGTGGTGAGCCAAGGTTTTAAGGTAATGTGAGTGACTATAAAACCTTATTTTAAAAACCTCTATATTCTATATGGTATTTGTGTGATCTTAAACAAGCAATAAATCATTTACAGGCTAAATCCGTGGCAGATATCGAGAGCCAAATTAACTGTGGACAAGTGGAGGAGTTGATTATTCAGGCTGAGAACGAGTTGACGCTGAGCCGTAAGATGTTGACTTGGCGTCCGTGGGAACCACTTGCTAAGCCCCCGCCCCCCCACCAGTGGACCTGGCCTCCTGTCAAGTAAACAACCTGCCATCTACAGTCTTAAACCTTTGTTATCAGTTAAATAAAATGTAGTGTTTAAACTTCAAACTTGGTTTAAATACCGTATTGATTTTGAACCTGTACCACATTGAATTTGTTTTGGTTTGTAATTTGATGAAATTGTGATAGCAGTATTATATCGGTTCTAGTAATTGATTTAAAATTCTTTATTAGTAAATGACCGACACACTTACCTCCTAACAATGACATTCTTTTATTTTCCTTTTACAGTAGAGTCCCGCAAACTCAGCGTAATGTGGACTGGAAGGGTGCCGAGTTTGTGAAATGCCCGGTTATCGGAAACTAATGTTAAAGATAAGAACAATACAATTTTTAAGGTTATTAACTACCTCTTTTACTTATATTTATATTACAAGTTAGTATTAAGTCATCAGATATAGTACAACAAATCATTTGTACGAGCTGAAAATGATTTGACTTGAGTCCATGTTTAACTCAGACTCAAAAAATCACCAATTTTCTGAGCCAGGTAATGGCCGAGTTATCCAGACTGCCGGGTTATCGAGTGCCGAGTTTGCGGGACTCTACTGTATTAGTTAAATGGAGTAACTGAGTCCAAAAGTCTATAGTTTTAAGAAGCATCATGCTTTTGAACCGTTTGATAACTTTTAGTTTTCGACTCAAGCAGTTTCATATCTAGCCAAAGGATCAGAAGCTGATCTGAAGTTCAAGGAAGAAATTTAAATTATTAATTGGGGGTTTAGTATTTTGGTTTAAATTTAGAAAATGATGTGAAACTAGTGTCTAACTTATTTGTGTGTGTATATTGTAAAATTAAATTGTAATAAGTCTAGTTTTCACGTGTTTACCTACTACTATCTACCAATTAATAATATTGATATTTAAAGTATACTCTCTTTAAAAAATAGGCCAAGGCTCATGGAATTTTGAGTGTAAGAATCTCAAATATTTGTGTGATATACTGGAAATTGAAACTCTCCTTTTGATCTGTTTGGTAAGATAGTTAAGATGGTTTCGATGTTTACCCGAGTATAACCCACATATTCATGTATATCTTTTCCATAGCTGAGTGAATAATAAAAGCCACGATCTACTTAGCTCTGATAGTAAAGCCCAACACTCGCCGGTCGTCCCGTCTTGTCACCTGGCCGATATCTGTGTGCAGATGTCCTTTGTTATGTTTTATACTGATACTACATACCTGTTGAGTTTCTTGGACCAAGTGCTAAATATCTCATGACCGGATTTCTGGCTTTAGTCGTGGTTTGTATTGTATTGTGAGAGTCGTGGATCATGATCCTAGCACGCCAACCGAAGCTTATTTTGCATACCCAACTTGCCACTAACTAGGTAAGCCTATACCCGTGTCCTCGACCAGTTGCAAGAGTTTTTGCCTAATGTTAGCATCTGGTTAATCAGCTGGCTGCTTTAGCATAGGCGTCCCATGACCAACAATATTTTTGGGGTGGCAAGCAATAAGCATAACATATCAGTCTAAAAATAAGCGAAAATATTGTATTTTTAATAAATAGAAATTCCTAAAAGACGCCTATGCTTTAAACCAAACAGAGCCCTCCTCCTATCCCTAATACTGTCGCATTCCAGAATAAGGTGTTTTGCACGGTCTGACTGGTTGCTAAGTCTACACTCAAGATTGACGATTCCTAATGTGTGGAGTGGAGGTGTTTCCTGAAATGGCCGTGTCCAGTGATGAGGTCAAGTACCTGCCCTCTGCCTAACTTAAGTAGCCAGCGAGTAAAGAGGTGCTAGGTTCTTAGAGCAATTTCTTGCAAAGTGATTGTTCAGGATAATTACGCCAACGCTTTAGGTGATGAGAACTCTGTTATCTGCCTAACCCTGGACAAATATGCATTTACTGGTGAGTTCATGTAAAAGATTGTCGACCACAAAGTTCCACTTTAATACTTTTTACTGAAATGGCGGCCATAGATAGTAGGTATTTTAAGCCAAGTATGAACGGAGATGAGTGTAGGATGAGTGGCGCAATCTTGTAGTCTTGTTCTTGTTACTGACTAAGGCCGAGATGTTCCTTAGACAGGACTGTTCATTAATACTCCATAAAGCCAAGGGCAACTAGGTGACCTACAGATTATAGTGGAATCCGAATCAAATTTTTGCGCTGTAATTTACAAATTGATCTAATTATCAGGATGTACTGCGGATAGTCATAGTACTCACAAGTGCGAATGATAATCCACACCAGTGAGTATCGCATCCACAGATCATACCTATAGATATCCACAATTCGTTACCTCCAAGTAGCTGGATTACAAGACGACACTATGGTCCCAGATGAAAGTACTCTGTAGACAGCCCTTTGTGGGTGCAAACACATCTTTAACCCCTAGAAAGTGAGCCATGGTGTGTCTGAAATTGAGCATAGACACCGTCTATCTGCACATAGAATCCTCTACTCCACGTTCACAAACTCTATGCACCATGTCTCTGTACGTTTTATCGTTAAAGGCTCCTTTAATGTCGTGAAGGTGCATAGGGCTATTTCCTTAACAGCCAGGCTGTCCTCGTTCTACTGTCCAGCTCGTGCAGATCAGTTTCACAGGACTTTCCTGGCTGGTGGGTGTTTCGTGTTTGTTGCGATAAAGGGGTGTGTTTAGAAGCACACCCTTTCTTATGTGCCTCTCCATTGTACTTGAGGAAAAATGAGGAATGAATGATGAGGCAGAATGATTTACCCTCTGCTCAGAGTAGTCTGCTTCTTTTTACCCCCCACCTCCCAGTAGATTTTAAAATAAGCCAAAGTTATGGATTGCACATTTAACTTTGGAGAGAGTGAAAATCCTCCTGGACATGTTCCAGCTTTCAGGATAGGGGCGGATCTAGAACGGATTCTCGGAGGGGGGCATTGCTTGGAATCTTGGGTTGTAGGCTGTTTACCCCTCAAGGGTAGCCCTGTAGCCCAAGGGAAATATGAAAATTAAATGATATGATATTGCATTGTCATCCATTTGTGAGCTATGTTTCAAGTCTCTAGCTCATCGGGAACTTCGTTTAAAATTGATATCAAAATTTGTAAGAAAGAATCCACAGATCTAGCCTCCCAATTCAAAGGCACAGTGCACCGTCACCGTCTGCCGACGACAAAAAGACACCAAGACTAAATGGAAGTTTATAAACCGAAAAAAAATTAATGTGCCTGAGACAAATGTAAAATATTTGTGAAGTGTGTCGTGTGTTTAAAAGGACTTCTAAACCAACCACAGGACGAGGAGGTTTATAGAAAAAACTACATTATCAAAAAATGTTTTTGTTTTAAAAAAAAAAAATTTTTACAGTATTTTCTATAAACCAGGAAATGTATCAATTCATTATATATTTAATTTACTGCTTCGTGCTTCCATGGTTTTTTACAAATATTATACTTGTTTTAAATTAAAAATAATACTTGTTTGCAATAAAAACTTGTTTAACTACGATTTTCCCCTCTTTAACACCATAATTACATTTCATCATGAAAAAATGAAGGGTTCAAACTACTGTATTATTTTTAAATTAATAAAAGGATATGGTAGGATCATTAAATGTACGTAACAATATGAAAAAATGAATATAGATACTACGTCTAAAGTGTGAAGGGTTAATCTCAAAAACGTTTTTACACCCATTTTTATTTGGGGGTCCACTAGACTCCTGAATGGGCTCCAGCGTAAAAAACGAGCACGTGCGCTTTAAGGGTTAAAATCCTTGGTTATTGGTGGTGATGGTGATACATAGATAAATTAATAAATCATAGTTCAATGAGTTAATTACTTAATTTTTTTAACCCAAACATCATGACACTAGAAAGTTTAAAGCTCTGAAGCTTAATACAAAACAAAGTAGACTAAGCTCAAGATGAGAGCAATGCACGCTATATGGCCGTCCTTTTAAAAGCAACTGTTATGTACAGCCTGTACAGGCTGTATTAAAAGCATGCCCTCTCTTCTCCCAGCTATCTTATATTATGTTCCACCATACTCTAACTTCTCTAGTTTTAAGTTTGTTAACATTGTTGTTAAATCATCGAATTAACATTAGTTCACTCAGAGTAGAAATGTTCAATTTAAACATCAGATTTGGTTACTGTTTGCGATCTCAATCTCATTGCACAACCAGTATCAGCAGTTCTTCAAACTTCATAATTTAACATTAGTTATTGATTATTAATAATATAAATAGGTTACATACCTTACGTCGTCAATCCTAAAATTAGTCTATGGCGACTAGTTTCGAAACATCAAGGGTTCATTGTCGAGCCTCTTGCCTCTTAAAAATATTGTGACATCTTGTCGTCATTAATATGATTATTGATTATTAATCTATGGAATTAATATTAGCATGAAAGTAAGTACATCTCGTTTTTACAATGAAGTGAGTGTAATTAAAATACTTAAATTGCTTTAAAATTAATCTTTTCCTGTTATCTACAAAACCTATAATGATCCATTTAAACCTCGGAAAAATTCTACCTTGTGTACAAAATTAGATAGTTAAACCAAAAAGATTCATAAAAATGATATTACACTCCATCGAAAAGTAGACGGGCTACTTTTAAAATGAATGTTCTTGAAACGACTTTTTTAAAGAAATTATTAAGTTTAACATTTCTGTTTGCATTTAATAATTCTTTGGAAAAACACATTATATAAAAGAGTTATTACATAGCAACTTCGAGAGCTTTAAAATTGAAGTATCAAAGAAATCACCTTGCCTTAAGCCCTCTTGAGTTATGAAAACTCTCCAAGAAGTAAATTGAATTTACTTTGTCGTTTCAAGTGCTAAAATAAAATGAAGATGTTTTAATATACGGGTAACACTTGGGATATCAATTAATTTTAAAGGAAACTATACATTAACTAGAGTCCAGAGTAACAATATCATTCTTATAAATCCAAATTAATAAGCAACATTGTTTATCAACATCTTGATTTTTGACAGCGACATACATAAAAACGTAAATTTTAAGTTGAATATTGAAGGCAAATGTTGATATTATTTAATGATCAGTTAAGCTTTTAACTAATTTAAAAAGCCCACTTGGGTTATGA